GTGAAACAGAGACTGACTGTTATAGTGGAGGACAACGGGCAGCCCTCTCGTTCAGCTACAGTCATTGTTAACGTGGCGGTGGCGGACAGCTTCCCTGAGGTTCTATCGGAGTTCACGGACTTTCCACATGATAAGGAGTACAATGACAATCTTACATTTTACTTAATGTTAGCTCTGGCTGTAGTCTCTTTCCTCTTCATCACGTGTTTGGTGGTTATTATATCAGTAAAGATCTACAGATGGAGACAGTGTCGCATTCTTTATCATTCCAACCTTCCTGTGATTCCTTATTATCCACCACGTTATTCGGACACTTTGGGAACAAGGACTTTGCCACATGTGTACAATTATGACATAAGCAGGACAACTGATTCCAGAAAGAGTGACAATAAAGTCGGAGGAGCTGTTGATAATGTGTTGATAATGGATCCCAGTTCGACAGGCACAATGCAGCGGATGCAGCAGAGTGAGAAGAGCATCCTGGATGAACCAGACTCCCCTCTAGAGGTTAGGCTTCCATGTTGACGCTCAATAAATGTATGCCTATCAGTTTTGTAATATATATGTAATATATATATATATATATATTACACATCAGTTATGTGATACAAATATATATATATATACTGTGTATATCTTTTTTTCAATGGTATTATCTTAAAATATATGATAACTTAAAATACTTTATTTCCACCGACCAGATTTTCTGTTGACTCTTCTGTTCCCTGACCCACACTTTTCCATGAGTGCGTCAGGCAGTAACCCCCCTGAAAAAAAGAGATAAAAAGTTCTTTCAGCTCCAAGTTCCCTTCCACCAGAAGGCTCCATCAGTGGTTCAGTATGAAAAAACACAGGAGCTGTCCATTGTTCTGAAATTGAGAAGGCTGGCTACTCAATCTACCCTGTGTCCGACCCATACCCCTGAATTCAAATGCATTTGAAATTAAATCATCAAAAGTATTTTGAACAACATTATATAGTTTTGTTATTTTGAGGAACAAGATGATGCAAAACACATTGGCAAATAACTTTGCGATCCACTGAGCATTTCTAAACAGATTTTATGACAATAAAATTAGTATTTACTATTTTATTATTAGTATTTTAATAGTATTTACTATTATGGCTTTCTGAGAAAATCTTGCTGTTGCAAGTAATGTCAGTTGTAAGACTTTGCCCTCCAATATGACGGTTGTTTGCTCAAGACCTGGCTTAGGCTTTTAAAGGTCGCCATGCACAAAAGGCAACCCAGAACAATATTTTGAGGTACACTGTTTCTCTGTCACTTTAGTGAAATAAACCCGTTTTAGGAGTCTTAAGGCTCAAAAGCAATGTCAGCATTATTCTGACATTTGAATAGGCTTGTTGGTGCATTTCCCTGTTCCTCTTTCCCTGCCAGACATTTCTGGCATTATAAACTGTTACCTTGATTTTTATGACATCTTTCTTTTTAAGTTTCTATCTACAACTGGCTAGAAATTAATCACAAAAGGCAACCCAGTGTAATTGAATTGAGTTTTTTTATATTTACTTCAGATGTCTATTACACTATTATGTTGATAATAGTGCCTAATCTATTAACTATTGTCATGGAAAGCAGATTTTGAACATATTTCTTTTATAATCTTACTAAATATTTCAAATAAGATGCAATAAACATTTGACTTTTAAAGTATATACAGTTCCAGCAAAGTATATTTTATAGAACCTGTTCTCACTCTATCTCTCTCCTCACTGCTCCTCTTGCTGCTTCGCCCA